ATGCCTTTGGGAGAAATAAAGACAGTGTTTTGATCCTCAAGGGGCTCAAAGTTGAAATGTTTTAACATGAAAGTAGGCTTGAGAGCAGGGCACAGTGTTGCTCACCTGTAATCCCAGAAGTTAAGGAGAGGCTGAGGCAGGAGAATTGCAAATTCAAAGGCAGCCTCAGCAATGGTAAGGCACTAAGTAACTGTGAGACTCTGTCTCTAAATAAAATAGGGCTGGGGATGTGGCTCAGTGGTCAAGTGCCCCTGAGTTCAATCCCCAGTATCAGTCAATCAATTAATCAATCAATAAAAATTTAGGCCTGAGAGACAAGAGGATAAATGCAGGTGGCAGCTGTCTGAGGAGAATGTGTTCATGCCACCTTATATAATACAATGGGTAAGAAAACAAGCCAATTGGGGCTGGAGATGTGGCTCAAGCAGTAGCGCGCTCGCCTGGCATGCGTGCGGCCCGGGTTCGATCCTCAGCACCACATACCAACAAAGATGTTGTGTCCGCCGAGAACTAAAAAATAAATATTAAAAAATTCTCTCTCTCTGTCCTCTCTCACTCTCTCTTTAAAAAAAAAAAAAAAACAAGCCAATGTAGTGGAGAAAAAAATAACAAAAGAATCACAAGTTCCAGTTGTTATAAAAATGGTCTCATTCCAGTTGCAAGCCACATTCGTTTTAAGAAACTTACTGTTTCTCAGTCTCTGGCCCATAACAGGTACCTAATAAATATGTGTTAAATAAATTGAAGCGACAAAGGAGGAAATCTATCCATAAACCTTATGAGATTTCTAGGTATGATGAGACATCTGGGGCCAAGGCAATGTTTCCTGCCAAAACAAGCACAGAACTACAATTCTAGTCATTCTTCATTTACACTGGCTGTTGGAACAAAATGATTATGCAACCATTATCCATGGTGACACACCTAAGCCCTGCCCAGGACCCGCTGAATATGAGTCACAAGATGATCTTAACCTGAAGTTCTTATCCAAAGCAACATTTTTATATTTTGTGAAACCAATTAGCAAGTATGTTTTTCTTGGTGAAGAGCCATTCATTTGTAACCCTAATCCCATAATCAAAACTGACACTTGAGTGACAGATGGGGAGATAGTCTTCCCCATTCTTCCATCTCCTCTTCACAGTACTCCAGGTAGCTAGGGATCCCAAGGCAGTAGTAAGGAAGACTGGTTTCAGAGTATGACAGATCTGGACTTAAATCCTAGTTCCAACATTACTCTGTGACCTTGGACACTATCCTCAGCCACAGCAAAGGAGCTTACTAATACCATCTACATCACATTAAATGAGATAATGCTGGAGAAGTCCCCAACACAATACCTGATAAATTTCAAGTCACAACATATTTCAAGCCTTTCTGTAATGGGGAAAATTTAAGTTACCAAATTAAAGAAGGAAGTTGACTGTTAAAGCTGAAACTTTTGTCTCATAAAGAAATGGCCCCTCCTTAAAACCTGTTACACTAATATTCTTTCCAGGAAGTTCCTATTCTGAAATCTGAGTAACCATGTGCCAACCTCAGTTCACTTTCCTATCAGACAAGGTGGAAATTTTCCTCCAGTTCAAAACATATGCATAGGGCTCCACCTAATGAAGAAATTAACATATTTTAAAATTACAGGTCTAACACTAAAATAAATTAACTAATCAAATATATCCAAGTCAGGGGCTGGGGATGTGGCTCAAGTGGTAGCGCGCTCGCCTGGCATGCGTGTGGCCCGGGTTCGATCCTCAGCACCACATACCAACAAAGATGTTGTGTCTGCCGAGAACTAAAAAAAATAAATATTAAAAATTCTCTCTCTCTCTCTCCTCTCTCACTCTCTCTTTAAAAAAAAAATCCAAGTCAGAAAGTTTTCAGATTTTTTTTTTTTGGCAACATAAGAAAGAAAACCAGGGATAAAATTTGGTTGACCTATTAAGAGAAATTTAAAAATCTATTCAATAAACATGTATAAAGTTCTTTCTGTAACAAAACATGTGTTCATTTGTCATTTTGATCAAGATGTTTTAAGGAATTCAAAGAAGAACAAACTTTAAAAGGAGGTCTCTGCTCCTAAGTATAGAAGGTATACAAATACAAGGGAGAAGGTGATAAAAGTTATTAATAGATGGGGCAGGGGTTGTGGCTCAGTGGTAGAGCGCTGGCCTAGCATGTGTGAGGCCCTGGGTTCAATCCTCAGCACCACATAAAAATAAATAAAATAAAGGTATTGTGTCCAACTACAACTAAAAATATTTTTAAAAGAGTTATTAATAGAGGTATAAAAAAGTGCTATAGGGTGGGAGAGAAAATCCAACTAAGGAATTTTTTACTAAAAAGTGGTGATTGAGTCATTATTTAGAGATAGGATAGAACTTCAAGAGGCAGATATGGGACAGGGGAGGAGGCATTTTACTCTGATGAAAGAGCACAAATAAGGCTTTTTCTCCTTATGGGAGAAAGCTAATATTACTAATAAAGAAAAGGGGAGAAGAAAGAGGTTATTGGTCTTGTGAAACCTAAGGCAAATTGATGAATAATGGCCAGGAAATTAAATGCTTTTAAATTCATAAGCTTCATTATGACAGTTCTTATCCACTATATTCTCTCCTGAGTCATAATTACAACGTAGAACAATATAACTGGAATAACTCCCGGGAATTACCTTGTGATTGAAGCACTGGTTCAGCAAATCTATTATCTGCATTTCACAGGGAGTGGTTTAGCAACCTCTTCCTTATAACCAAAGGGAAAAATCTCCCTTGCTAAACCATTCCCAAGTTTTTCCGCTTTCACTTATGATCCTTAAGTCTTTTATCTGTCTCTGAAGAGTTATTTCATGGTTGTTTCTCAAGGAACAGATGATTTTATTGATTAACTTTTATATATCATTCTTTAAGCAGGATGGGAATCTTCTGAATTTGCAACTTAGCTTACTGCCTGAGATTATGCCCTGTGGAAATTGGTAAAGGGAACCCAGTCTTTCAAAGTTCATATTGTTCATGTTACATGGTGAACAAATGATTGTGGCATTATGAAGTTGATCAATTCTTTCTCTACCAGTGTAGACAGATGCCTTTTGGCAACAGAATCATAAGGACTAGGAACAACCTGTAGTGGATAACCACAATCACTAGGCTACATGGACAGCAACAATGAAAAACTAAAAAAAAGGAAGGCAAGCATGTTCAGGCTAACTCCTTAAAAGGAAGCTTACAAAATTGTGAAATATTGTATCCATTTTAACATAGGGCAAACACTGTATAAACTTGAGAACAATTGCCATGCTTAAAAAAATAGTTGCCATCACTTAAGAATTTGAAGAGTTCAGCTGGGTGAGTGGTCAACCCCTATAATCCCAGCAGCTCCTGAGGCTAAGGCAGGAGAATTCCAAATTCAAAACTAGCCTCAGCAATTTAGCAAGGCCCTAAGAAATTCAGTGAGACCCTGTCCCTAAGAAAAATATAAAAAAGTGCTGGGGATGTGTCTCAGTGGTCAAGTGCCTCTGGGTTCAATCTCCAGTACCCCCTCCCCCAAAACTGGAAGAGTTCACTGAGAACTCTAAACTACTGGCTTTCTTAAACAATCTGAAGATCTAGCAGCCCTGTGCTTGCATTTCTACTTAGCAGTTACTGGCTGCTGGCTATCCCCTTAGCCTCCAATCTGCTGGCCCTCTTCCTGACCCCTACAGGCATTTTTGTCAGCGATTTTTGAATATGGCTTTAAAACTCAACCCACACATCTTAATGGTCTTAAATTGGGAAGATAATAATGATTGTATATTTTATATATTAATCAAATCCAGTTAAGCAGACTTACTTAAGATTCAGGATTAGAACATTTATATAAGTTTAAGACAAAATGAAACCTGGCTTGGGTGATCAAAAGATACACAATACAGAAAACATGGAACTATGCCTTGTCAGTGTGGCAGCTCAAACCAGGGTATGTTATTAAATAAGATTCAAACTAAAAGTGGACTGAAAGTTTCTCAGTTTCAAAGCACATATGCATTTTCTTGTCAAGTGCCAGCTAAATAGAATAATATATGCGCGCGCACACAATGTATATATACACACACATACATGCCAAATAAAACAGAAAAAAATGATTCGAAGTACCATGAAGAGGGAGCTAAATAATCACTAAATATTTACATCAACTTGCCAGGCTAGTCAAATGTCCATTGAAAGCATGAACTCAATTCTACATTAAGAGTAACTTTCCTAATGGTAGCAGAGTTACTTAAATAGCACTCTTACATGGTAAAACTCTACTGTTATACATGGTAAATAAAGAAACAAAGAATTTCCCTGACACATTATGCTGGAAAGCACTGAGAGGACAATATCTGTTTATAATGGGTAAAGTATCCAAGCCAAAATTTTCGAATCTTTGAAGTTGAATAGATTCTTGAAAAAGCAGTGTAGTGTGACTGTTTCCTAATTTTTTCAGCCACCCCCTCAGTTTGCTACCCTCTGCAATTTCTGTGGGAGAGAATGACAACGCATCATCACGCTAATACTTAATTCTTTCTACTGCTGGAAAGGACGTTGGGTTGAGCTACCACAGCCGTGACACAGCTTTCCCTCCATCCAAGGACGTCCTGTGCCTCTCAGGCCAAATGCTGCCGGGGAAAACCGCTGCAGCGGTCAATTTGGCCACCTGTCCCCTGCTGCACGCGGGCCGCTCTGCGTCGGATGCTCAGATAATCCTCGTTCTATTTGGGCAAAGAGTCCCCCTATTAGTGCGTGACCCAGCTCCACGACCAAAGCTGCAACTGCTCAACTGTGCCTCCGGGGTCCTGGGAAGCTGAGTTCCTCAGGCCCGGGCGGGGCAGCCCCAGCGTGGCAAGCCCCTCTTCGGCTTTCCCCCCTTGGCCGGCCATCAGAATTCAGGGCCGCGAGAGGAGCGGGATGGGGACGCGATACCCAGCCCCAGCGTCCTCAGGCTCCCGCCCCGGCTCAGCGCCTCCTCAGATATCACCCCAGGCTCACCAAAAAGCGTGTCGAGCTGGTACCCTGGTCCACTGCCCCCACCAACGGCCCCAAAACTGCTTTCTTCGCCGCTGCCATGAAACCAGCTTCAAGTCGGCCGGCTATCGCGGCCGGTTTCCCGGGTGACCGCGGTGGGCGGGGGAGGGGCGGGCGGAGAGACCGGAGGCTAAGACGGCGAGCGTCTGCAGAACACTCGGACCGCGCTGGAGGCAGCCCCTTTACCCGCGCAGAGCCTTCTCACTCCGCCCCTCCGGCCCAAACTCCGCCCCCCAGAGCGTTCCCCCACGGCTTCGGGGGCGTGGTGGAGGGGGGGGGCGCTGTCTGCTGGGCTGGCCAATTAGCGAACACGGAAAGAAACAGAACATTCGGACAGTCAGAGGGCGGTGAGACGTCATGGGGGCGGGGTCTGGGCGCGGCGGAGGCGGTGGCCCGCGCAGCAGGTCACGTGAGAGGAGGCCCGGGAGCCCGCTGCCTAGCCGGCCTGCTGCAGTATCTGGGGCGGAGGCGAGTACTAGCCGTTGGCTCGGAGCGTCTCTGACCCGCAGAAAGAACAAAAGTCCGCCCGAGCCCACAAATGGGTCCAAAAGTGCAGAACTGCTTGTTCCCCCCCGTGGGCTGGGCTGAGAACGACGTGAATCTCGGTGGGAATCTCCCGGGGGTCCGACCTTCCCGCGCTTCCCACGCCCCGCCCACCTCCCGCACTTGGCCCCTGTTAATAATAGTTATAATCTCGCCTACTGGGACTGGCCCCCCACGTGGGACCACTACAAGGAGCAATGCGAATCCCTCACCTTTGTAGATTTTTCAGAATCAAGAAATACCGTAATTCTTTCGGTTAAGTATTTAAGGGAAACATTCAAAAGCAACTTCCCCGATTCCCTCAATTGACCAACCACACAGAAGACACCCAGCACCTCCCTGTCCTGAGGCGCCCTTGCTCCAGGCTGGGCTTCTGTCTTGTGTCCCCTCCCCCACACGCCATTTCCGCTCCCCTCGTTAACTGCTTTGGACCGTCAAGGGGAGAGAAAAGGGATTCTCACTTGACCTTGAATTTACCTTGCCAAGATCCTGTTGAGTCGTGTGTTCTAGGGGCTTTCAAATTTTGGACCCAGACCCATAATGTGAAATAATTTCCAAACAACTTGGGGATTGTGGGTTTGTGAGTGTGCATGCATTATATAAATATATAACAGTTACATATATAGATACATTTTATATGTATTTGTATGTATTATGTTTCCTAAACACTTTTTGTCTTTCCGTGCTCTATACAGTCTATATTATAGTGTATCACTTTTAAGAAATATTAGTTGAAAAATCACTAAATTGATTTAGTAAATCATATGTGCTTATCAGTTTTCAAAAGCTCTCTCATTTCTTTCCATCCCTTTCCCAAATCTCCCAGTATTTTTGGAACATCATTTCTATTTTTTCCTCCTCTTGCATTACTCTATACCACCTTACTTCTCCATTTATTTATTTAGTTACACCACAGTTGTTCTGGAAGCAAATTTTCCTATACTCCTTTTAGCCATTAGATTCTGGTGTTCCAAATGAAGCCTGCTTGTGGAGCTACTGGACTTGATAACTATTAATAAACTGACTTGCTTTGAGGTAGAAGGGCAGATGGGTAAGTATTTCTGAATTTTCTTGAAAGAGGAAAAAGAGGCATATAGGTAAATGTTGAGGAACTAGGTCAACTTGCCTCTAAAAATTGTGAAAGGCATGAATTGAATAAGTGATATATAAATAAAGATTTCCTTGGTTCTAGAAGTCAGTGAAAACAAAGCGCCAAATCTATCACATTGATCCATTTATTTAAAAAAAAAAAAAAAGGCCCTGACCATGTTTGAACTTTCACACACTTTTGGCTCAGATTCTACTAGGACAGCAAATTATTTGTTTAGCGGCACAGTGGGGATCAGAACTCAGTCATTTCAAAATAAGTTGCACTGTATGTACATGATAGATCCTTAAATTTATTGGTCCTCTGATTCCTACAGCAGTGTATACCCCACATCCTCAATCCTTTCACCAAAACAAAACTGAAAAGCCAAAATATTATTTGAATTTTCAGGAGTTACACACATCTAAGTGCCCTCTAAAAGACAAGGGGAAGACAAAAGGAAGCATCCTAAGTGGAAGAATCAACCTCAGCCTGCCTAAACTCCACACTCTAAATATTTACTCTAAACTCCCATAAATCTATTTTCTCTTACTCTTTTAGAATTATTCTCTTGCTTGCCCTTTCTCACCCCTTCAAGCCCCAGCTGCAGTCCAAAATATATTTTTAATTTTTAAAATAACTTTATTTTTTTAATGTAATGCTTAGGGTTAAACCCAGTGCCTCACATTCTACCACTAAGTCACAACCCCAGCCCCCCAAATTTTACATAAATGTAAAAATAAACCAATACCTATTCTGATTCCATTTTTCATACTATTACTGAGACAGAATTGGAAGTAACAATGGCCTGAGACCCAAACAGGATAAGTGATAGACATGTTTGAGACAAGCCCTCCTCTGTGGCAGAACCAGGACTTGAATTTCCTGACATCAAACCTAGTGCAGCAAACCTTTTACAGCAGACGGGAGGCAATGGAAGCTGAAGGAAAATGGACTAAAAGAGAAATGATGGGATGCTGGTCCACCTTTATTTCCCCACCATGCACTGCAGATCTGAAGGCAAAGTAGCAGAGGAGTAAACACTTAAGTGGAAATGTAAAGACTTGGTCTGATTTTGGCCCTGCCATTCAACTCTTACTCTTCTTGACCTTGAGTAACTCATTTCCTCTCAGGGCTTCCTTTTGCTCATGTGTAAAATAGGGAAAATGTCACTGATACTGACGTGGATGGGTTAATGTGACTTGACTGATGTAATGCCTGTGTCATGAAAGGCAAGATGCAGTGTCCCTGTCATTTGTTTTCTACCAAAGAGATCTAGAGATGAAGAACCAAACTTCTTCAGGCAAATGTTTTAAGTAGTTTGAGTCATCTAAGGCTTGCTATGATAATTTCTGCCTAGTAGAGCAGGAAATCAAAGTTAAGCCCCTTTAGAGTGTCTCTAGGTGTTTTGCTTATTCCTCTAGTTTTTCCTGTTCTTTGTTAACTTACACAGAATTTATATAAGCAGAAAAAGCCTACATTTCCCTAGAGAATCTTTTTTTTTGTTTTTGTTTCTGGCATTGCTTCTTGATCTCAGGTTCTCCTGAGCTATAGCACTTACTTTTTCTGGTCTAGTCTATTTGGAAAACTGGCCTTTCCTTATTTCCTCCTGACTATTCTATTGACTTGAATATGAATTGGTATGGATAGGAAAACCATAACATGGAAAGTTAGTGCTAGAAAGATTTACAATAAAAACCCAGGCACTTTATTATTTTATAGAACTGAAATGCTTTAAGCAGATATATGGAGTAATCTGCCTCTGCTAATTAGAGGGAGTTAAAAACAGATTAAGAATTTAAATAGGGGTGCTGGAGATATAGCTCAGTTGGTAGAATGTTTGCCTTGCATGCACAAGACCCTGGGCTCAATACCCAGCACCACCAAAAAAAAAAAAAAAAAAAAAAGAATTTAAATGTATTTGCTAAAAAAAGCCAAATTGGGAGCATCTCTCTTCCACTTGCAGATTGGAGAATCCACTCACATGCACGTTAATCATCTAAATGTGACTGCCTAAAATTGTGTGTCACTTTACTCAATGTTGAACTCATAAAAAAAAAATAGGATTGGGCAGTGGTTCTCAAACTACTTGTGTCAGAACCATCTAGAGGATTTGTTAAAACCCGGGTTGCTGGGCCACAACCCCACAATTTGTTTCATGGGTGAGGTCTGAGAATTTGCATTGCTAACAAATTCCCAGGTGGTGCTGATACTGCTGATACAGGGACCCCACTTTGAGAACAATTAGGCTCTGGGTAGAGTTTGACAAAACTGTAGTAAAACCCTGAGGTAAAAAGAGGTCTCTGTTTTATGAGTTGTTAATGTCCCTTTTTCCTAAACCTCAGGTCTCTGCTAAGAATCAAGTCGTCTACTTAAGATATTGGTAGATAAGGGGCTGGAATTGTAGCTCAGTGGTAGAGCACTTACCTGGCATGTGTGAGGTGCTGGGTTTGATCCTTAACACTGCATATAAACAAACAAATAAATAAATAAATGATCCATTGGCAAGTAAAATTTTTTTTTAATTTTAAATTTTAAAAAAATGGTAGATGAAGGCTTAAGGAAGAAGGTTCTCAAACATTAGTTTATGTCAGAATCATCTTGGGCACTTGTTAAGGAGGCTTATTTGTGCCACTCTCTTTTACCCCACCCCAATAAATGCAATGAGGTAAGCTGCTTGATGCCAGCAATTTTGTCCTGATCATTATTTTGATCCCAGGAACTATAAGTGATATCAAAAGAATGATAAGTGATTATCAAAAGAATGAATAAATATGGTAGACTGAAAAACCAAATGACTGGCTCCTAATGACTCATGCTTTCTAGTAATAAAGTCCTTTTATTGTGCCATCCCACAATGACCTTCTGACTTGGACCATTGATATGCATAGACAGTGGGATAATAGGAAACATGATAGGAACCAAAAATAGCACTTGTGCAGAAGTGAATGTTTCCCTCTTGGAACTCAGTGTAATCTGCAACCAAATAAGAGGCCATGTTGGGGAAAACAAAGACACCCCAGGTAACCAGCTCCAACTTTAGATATACCTATGAAACCATCTTGGATATTTTAGCTCCAGCCAAGCTCCCAGCCAACTGCAGCTGCCGAATGAGCCACCCAGCTACTGAACGACCTTAGATAGCATCTGCAACAAAACACTACACAGCTGAGTCCAATGAATCCACAGACTCATGAGAAATAATAGATTATTGTTATTAGCCACTTGGTTTTGGAGTTTTCTTCTTTTTTTTTTTTTTTTGGTGGTACTATGGATTGAACCCAAGGACTTGTGCACTGAGCTGTATCCCCAGTCCTTTTTAAGTTTGTTTTGAGACAGGGTCTCTGAAAGTGCCCAGTTTGGCCTTGAAATTGTGATCCTCCTGCCTTCCAGGAAGTTGGTATTACAGGCTTATGCACCATGCCTGGCTTGAAGTCATTTTTTTTTTTTT